TAGATGGGATAAGAATCTGGCCCCGATAGTGATTTTGTTCTCGTTTTTGCTTATCCCGCGATGGGGGTTGCGATATGATTGCATCTTGCATAATCGACGATCCGAAGTCAGGTCCCGCGAACGCCGCGCGAGAACACGTGTAAACGCGATCCGAGTCGCGCCCTTACACGCCTTCCCGTGCGTCGATTCGCTCACCCAAAAAGGAATCGCGGCGGAACCATCATCCCGTACGAGCACGTTGAGGTGCCACTGAGTCTGCCTGTCCTACACGTGCTCGTATGCGGTGACGATATCCCGACCCGCGCTATCCCATCGACGATGATATCATGACGCGATCTTGGGGCTCGGACTCGTCCTATGACCCAGACTATTTCACCTCTGTAATAAACGAGCTCATAAGGACACGATACCCCTGTCACACGGAGAATCGGCTATGTCCGCGGGAATTCCACTGTGCCACCTCTAGCGACCCTCGGTGCTCCGATTTCCCTTCTCCCGACCACACCTACTACGTCACCCACCCGGGATTCGTTGAGATCACTACCAGTTTCCCTCCCTTCCGCCTCCTTCTCCCGTATCATCAACTCAGTGTCGTTCCGTGGCCGGCCATAGCCCCCTATTGGCCCAATACGTTTTGCGTGAACTGCCGACGCAACGGCGCACAAAGAACTCCGGAATTCCAAAGGCCCAACCCAAGTACGCGGCGGCCTGCGCCACGTGGCGGCCCCCGACGGCCTAACTTTTCAGGACCATCTCCACCACGGAGGAATTTTCCCGTAACCCGTCGCCCACAGTGTCCCGGCCCCTTCGGACTGTGAGACCCTTGCGCGCGCCCCCCCTCGTTCGCCTAATTGCATTCATACCCTTAAGACTCCCCCACTTCGATCAGGAAGTCGCGTTGGGCGTGAGGTTGGTATCGGAGCCCGACACGTGGCTAGGGTCCTAGGATTGATAGCACGTTAATTAGGCGACCTGGCTAACCGTGGGCGACCTCGCCCCCGGAACATGCATAGATGCGACCCTATCGTCACCTGAAGCAGATCGGCTAATCGACGAGCAGCCAATATGGCTGCCAATGCGCAGAACCCGGTTCCGCAACAAATTGCTGACCCACCAAATCAACCTGCCCCACGTGCACGGGCTCCCATGACGCCACCTGATCTCTATTTGTTTGATCCCGCACACCATCTCGCAGGAGCATGGCTGGCCACACTTAGAGCCCAACAGTACACTGACAACGAAGCACAGATCAACATTCCGGCTCGAATGGGAGGAGACGCTCATCATTGGTTTAGTACCTATGTATGGGTGGATCTCCCGACCTTCGAGCGGTTTGATTATGTCCACCCCAAGCAAGCGCTGTACATGATCAAGGACCGAGTGCAAAAATCGCTCGAATCCGTCGCGGAATATCGAAATTGGTTCTACAGAATGTTCGTAAAAACTGAGCGAGGTGAGCAAGTAGGGAGAGATCTGTTCATTGACGGACTCCGCAGCCGGACAATAAGGGCTAAGTTGCGAAAGCAGTTTTCCCCCATCACCCATACGCTACAACAAATTATGGCCGCTGCGGAAGAAATGGAACGGAAGTTCGCGGCGAACTTCCTGGAAGGAGAAGATTACCCTAGAGACGGAGATTCGACTGAACTCGCTCGAGCAAGAGCAGAGCTGGCCGCTTTACAGAACAAGTTTGAAAACATGGGGGTTGTATCAGGATATGTCACCTATATGGAACAGATAGGCCCCAAACGAGTAATCCTAAGTGAGACTCTGAGCATCTCTGCTCCCATGATGCCCCCGCCCGTCAGGGCATTACCCCCGCCGCCGGTTGAGGCTCCTGTACGATCAAACGAATCAGCGGCCATTTTCGAACTAACCAAAACTTTGATTAGTTTGATCCAAGAAAGTAAAAAGGAGCAGCGAGAGCACAATGCTCGGTTGGAAGCCATGATGAGGAACATGCGACCCATTGCGGTGCGTGCCCCTCCGATGCAGCAAGGATTAGCCCCAGCCCCTGCTCTCGGGGGAGCTGCGAACAATCTGAATGTCTGCTACGCCTGTCATCAGCCCGGACATCTAGCCCGCGATTGCCCCCACCAACCCCTACAATAGCGAATCGGAGTCGCACCTGTGGCTGCTGCCCCCATCGCCAACGGACCTGGACGAGTTGGAGCCCTGATGGAAGAAATAGAGGGTGGGGGAAGTGCCCTGGCTACCTCGGAAGAGGCCGCCGAACAAATCCCGCTAGATCAGTACGTATCGCTGGGATATCTTGGGCTTGGAATGATCAGAACAATCAGACCAGCGCCAGAACCAAAAGAGGTGGCGGAGTGGCGACCGTCCCTAGGAGAAATGGAGTCGGGAGGACCCACCTTCGTCACAGGGGAGATCGATGTATTAAACATCATCCGAGCTTTGGACCATCGGATTCCCCTTCCGATTCGTCATCTGCTCTCGATCTCCGAGCAAGCCAACGAGCGAATGTTACAACATTGCAAAGCGAACCGAAAGCGATTCGCCCTTGCCCGAACCCCGAACGTGAAAGCCAAAAGCCCCGCGCCCGAAGAAAACCCCGCAAGTACTTCGGATCCGATACGGGTAGGTTTAATCCAGAAAGATGATCGTTTCCTGCGGATTAAACCAATTCCGTGGAAATCTGCTGAGTGTGATATAGAAATTTGGGGAATTCCTTACAATGTTATTATAGATTCAAGAGCGGCTGTGTTGGCTATCTCACTGAGAGTGGTCGAAAGGGCGGGTAGGAAAAACGGCTTGATCACGCTTTCTGAGAAAGATCAGCTCATTTCGGCCGACGAAGAAAGAATTAAAACCGTGGGAAGAATGACCAATGTCGCTTTCCGATTGGGTAAAGTGCATGCGCTTGGGGATGTCGTAGTACTATATGTCAATACGTACGACGTTCTCTTTGGACTTCCCGCTCTTGTGGCGTTACAAGCAAACCTGGACTTCGTACGATGATCGATCGTCCTCCGAAATACAGGAGGAAAACCCTACGTTGTGCCTATGCGATTGACCCTTCGCACCACTATTAACGCGGTTCCGCGGGTTTCGCCGATGATGGTAGGGACTCTCCGCATGATCTCCTGGGAGAAATCCGCAGAAGGAGAGTCATCAACAGATGATGCGGAAAGCAGTGACGAGGATGATCCGGAGATCTTGAAATTAGCACGACAATGTATTTGTTACCCGCCACCCAAAACGATAGCGAGAACGATGCAACTAACCAGCCGAAAAATCCAAAGGACCAAGGCGATGATCTTGGGTGAGCCCCTCATGCAGATTTCGAGGATGGTCGATTCTTTGGAACCCCCTCAAACTCTGTACGAAGGAATCGCCCCTCTCCTCGCCCAGTACAGCGACAAGAAGCATTACTGTGACATTACGGATCTACCTAAGTCCTTACTAACCTCGGCTAAAGAAGTGAGATTGTTATGCTTGGGGGCGGAAGCAAGCTCTCTGGAACCCCCTGGGCGTTTTGAAGCGGAAACCGACGGACTGGGGATAAAGATCACAACTAAGGAAGTCCCATGGCAGGATGTTTGTGACGGGATTACCCCGGAAGGACACGTGGCAATCCGAGAAGAAGATGCTCAGATGATGGCCACGGTGTTCTCCTGGCGATCGGATCATTCATTCATCTCGGCGCCTCCACCCGACTTGACAAAACAGGCGAACACGAAACAGATTGACGTTCGGATATGGGACCAACTCTTTGAACTGCACGTTCCACAATATGTGCCGGATGAAATCCACCGGGTAATTGCGGATATTCTTACGGAATATCAAGGAGCGATTAGTGTGTCAGACACCGACATTGGGTTGTTGTTAGTAATCCAACAYGAAATTCAGACAGGAAATCACTCCCCGATTCATTGCAAACCTTATCGCTATTCCTTGATTGAACGCAAAAAGGCTCTCGAACGAATTCGGGAGTTCGAAGCCAACGGTTGGATTGAACCCGCTACTGGACCCTGGTCCTTTCCTGTAGTGTTAGTACCGAAGAAGAACGGAGTGATTCGCATTTGCATTGATTATCGCAAGCTGAATGAAATCACGATTAAAGATGTGTATCCCCTCCCCCGGATTGATGATCTGTTGGATGTGATTGGATGCGCTAAATATTTCAGCAAGTTTGATATTCGGCATGACTTCCATCATATTCTGGTAAGGGAAGAAGACCGGCCGAAAACGGCCTTTGTGTTGTTTGAGGGCACGTGGCAGTGGGTTCGGTGTCCGATGGAGATTTGCAATGCGCCTGCCACGTTTCAGCGAGCGATGAACATGACGTTCCAGAACTTTGTCGGCAAGACACGGCTGACGCAAGGAATGATTAACTTTTGCGTGATCGTGTACATGGATGACATCCTGGTCTATTCAGAAACCTATCATGGGCACGCGCAACACATCGAATGGACATTGGGTGCATTGAGAGACGTTGGGTTCAAGATTGCGCTTGAGAAGAGCGAATTTTTCCTCTCGGAAATTTCGTTCTTGGGCTATGTCGTGACACGTGGAGGATTGCGGCCAGATTCGAGAAAAGTTGCGGCGGTGAAGGAAGCTCCGGTTCCTACATCACTGACGCAGGTTCGAGCCTTTTTGGGACTGGCGTCGTACTACCGGCGCTTCATCAAGGGCTTTGCCACGATTGCACGACCACTAGCGAATCTGTTACGGAAGGACCAGCCTCTCAGCTGGGACGCGGAGTGTCAGCAGGCCTTTGCAACCCTCAAGGACGCTCTGGCAATGGCCCCTATTTTGATTCGACCGGACCCCTCGAAGCAGTTCATTCTCATCACGGACTGGCAACCGGAAGCTATTTCCGCTATTCTAGCACAGAAGGGGAACGATGGTCGCGAACACGTCATCGAGTATGCGTCACAAACCGTACCGGACAAACGAAGAAACGACTCCGCACCTTAGGGTGAGTGTTATGTGGTAGTTTGGGGAATCCGACACTTCCATTCGTATTTCTACGGACAGAAGTTTCGCCTCGTAACGGATCACGAGCCTCTGCTGGCGCTGAAGAAACTCACCAACTACACGTGCATGATTGGCTGCTGGGCGGTGTGACTACAAGAATACGACTTCGATATCGTCCATCGAAAGACAGAGCGACACGGCAACGCGGACGGGATGACACGTCTGCATCGACCTGCCAAGGTACCAAAGGGCGAGGAAATTACACCGTGGAAAGAGTCGGACCTGACTAACGAGCCGAAGTACGGACAAGTGGCAGTTCTCCCACGTGGCAAGAAGCAAAACGGTGGCGGGTTTAGGGGTGGGATATGCGGATTTGATAGATTGCCGACAGTGTGTTGCACGGGCCCACGGCTCGTGCATCCAATACAGGAACGATAGTAAACCATGGTTGTGCCCCTTGTGCCGGACCGACAAAATTCCGACTGAGGCTCGCTTTTTGGATGCCACGTCAGAAGCATTGGAAAAGACCCGAAAGTTTAGAAGGGCCGAAGTGTGGACGGATATTGCCTTAATTGCCACCCTAGTAGGTAACCCCCTCCAGGATTTCACCAAGGAAGATCGGAGGAGGGCCAACGAAAGGGCTCGGGACTATCGATGGGTAGAAGGTAGATTAGAAAAACGGAAAACGGACGGCAGTGGGATTTGGATGGTAGTGTCGCATCCGTTCATGCGGTATGACTGGGTTAAGACAACCCACGAGGAAACTGCGGCTCATTTTGTTGTACGAATCACGGAGTCCGCTATGGACAAAAATGAGTGGTACTGGTCCAATATCCGCGACGATGTGAAGTACATCGTCGCCACCTGTCAAGTCTGCGCCGCTGATAAAGCGCCGATTCAGTCGCCAAGGTCGATAGTGCCCACGGTTGTTGAACGGCCATTTCAGAGAGTAAGCATGGACACTACCGACATAGTGGTGCCCCCTGGCCCTAATAGTTGCGAATATTCAGTCCTATTGGTATTTGTCGACCATTTCTCGAAATGGATCGAAGCGTATCCTTATCGCACGCGGCAAGCAACGAAAATCGCACAATATGTCAACCGTTTCCTCGGGATGCATCAGGATACGGAAGAAATCCCGACCGACAACGGGGCTGAATTTAGGGGAGAAGTGTTAGGGAATCGGGTCCTACATGGCGTCGCCATACGGAACACTGCACCCCACATGTCACAATCCAATGGGCTGGTCGAAAACGCTAACCGGGTGATAAAGACAGCGTTGCGACGAAACATCGCGGCACGGGATCCGAGACCTTGGCCCGATATCGTCGATCACATCCTGGCGGTCCATTGCGGAACGCCCCATGAATCGACGGGGCTGAGCCCCTTCCAATTAAGGACCAATAGTGTCGCTTGCGTTTCGATACCAAACCTCCCGGATGAGTCTACATTGAACCGACGACCCACTAGGGCCACGGCTCGGGACAAGGCCAAACGGCACCTAGAGTTAATGGAACGGTCGCTGCCCAGGCTAGCCCGAAAGCGACAGAAAATGACTGAACTGGCCCAGGGCCGACAGGTCCGGAGCTACGAGGCCCGAAATGGGAATGCAGGTCCGCGACCCCAGTACAAATTGGGGGACGTAGTGCAGGTGAGGAAATGTGCTCGCCAGGGTAAGCTAGCGCCACGATTCTTCGGGCGATACTGCGTGATTGAGCTCGGCCCCAACGGCGTGGACACTGTGCGTCTCGCCCCAAAAGTCTCTGGCAGCCGATCGGCGCGCCCGTTCACCCGCCACGTGTCCTATCTTCGCCTCCTCCCCTCTGCTCCGTCCCCTTCTCCCTCGATCTCTCATTCTGAGGAAGCCGAAGACGATGGCTCTGACTCTCCGCCATCTCCCTTTTCATCTTGCTCCCTCCCTGTCTCCCCGTCACTTCGCCATCGCCATGAGCTTTCTGGAGGAGAAAGCCCTCAGCGAAGCATCGCTTGCACCCCGTGATCGGTTGACGATCCGGCAAGTCCATCATCCCCGCCTCAGTCCAGATCTTCGGCGGCTTGCGCACTTCTTCTGCACGGAAGGCGTGTATGCAGCGGCGGTGTTCAGAATTGAAGGCCGTCCTGACGCGGTGGTACTGGCCGAGGCGGTAGCAGTTCATCAGCGGGCGGTGCCAGGTGTCARTCGCATATCGGTCGTCATCAACTTCAGTGGCGATCTCTCCACACTTCTTCCTTTGCGACATTCGGCGGTGAAGGCGTCGCTGCGCATGTGGGCGAACGATCTGGTCGCCGAGTGGACTCAGCTGCTAGCTCGCCCCGAAGATACAATGGCGACGTCACGAGCAATCGAATACGACGGCCTTTGGATGTACCAGCGCGATCCGCCGGCAGAGCTCCCTGTCCTCGTGCCCTTCCCCCATCCCCGATGAGTCTCTCTCCGATCTCCGTTTTCGATCTCCCCTCCACCTTCCCCACCTTCTGGCAGTCCGATATCCATCATCGCCTTTCCTACTGTCTAAAGCCCCTTGCTGTCCCCGATATCAACCCTCCCCATTGGGTCCTGTGGCGCGAAGACTTCATCGAGTTTTCATTGTGCTTGGTTGAGGTACGGATGACGTGGATCGAGGACTAAGCGCACCCGCCTTGCATAGAGCGCCTAGAGTTGCTGTTCATCCAGGCCTGGCGAACCAACGTGGAGGGAGAGCTCCTCACATTTCTATTCGGTACAGTGCGGCCCGGTCATCAGAAACTCATCACGCAAGAGCTCACGATCCCGGTAGCGCAGCTGGCGGACGATCTCCCCCTCGACATCATACGGCCTTCTTCAGGCATCCTACGGCGGAGCAGCAACAATATCTTGATCCCCGAACGGTTCGCGATCCTGCCTTCTTCAGGCATCCTACGGCGGAGCAGCTTGCGGCCATTCGAGAAGAAGAAAGCGAGGAAGGAGAAGAGAAGCACGACGAAGAGCCTGCTGGATCGGAGTGGGAAGTCGTGCCAGAAGAAGCGTTGCGTACAGGTACGGAGGCTGAGGATCCCGAGGCGGCCCGCAAAAGAGAAGAGATCGCGGCCGGGAAGAAGGAGTTGGAATTCGCAAGCGCAGTGAGTCTGCGCACCCACGACGACCCAAGCCGGGATTCGGAGCCGCCCCGGCCTGAAGATGGCGACCTCACAGCCACGACTCCGACCCCATCAGCGCGGCGACGGAGCCGATCCCCCTCCTCCTCAACCCGTCCCCCAGTTCGCCGACGTACCGATACGGGTGATCGGCCTTCGTCCCCTATCACTCTCTCGCCGTCCCCTTGACTACCTCACCCTCCGCCAACTCACCACTCCCATTACGTTCCCCTCCAATCCGTTTCCCCGCGACACCTTCCGCCACTTCTACGTCGCTCGCCTCGCTATAGTGGTGCATCCCCACCCCTCCATTCGATGCGTCGTCCTAGCCTTCTGCCTCCATGTCCTGCTCCTTAGTGCCGCGTGGCGAGGTCACAACATGATCGAGGTTTACTGCGTGATAGCGGGGACCATCCCCGCATGCGAAGATCGCGATCGTTTCCGCGCGGCACTTTTCCAAACTCTCACCACCCTCTATCCTGATTATCTCGCATCCCTCCCTCGCACTGGCAATCGCTTCCCCCGCTTTCACCGCATCGTTCGCTACCAAGAGCTTCCGGAGACTGTAGCCGGAATGGAAAGCCTTCTGGCCCCGCTACCCATAAACCCTCCACCCCGCCATGCAGCCATGCACCGACTCCCTTTCCCCCTCTCGATTAATTACTGATGCAACCGGTAATGGACGCGTGTCGCGGCGACGGCACGAGAAAGATCCAGTCCTTGGGTCGTCGAAAGCCCAATCCGAGGAATTAGTAAAAGAGCAGTGTTGCCACGTTGGATGACGTCCATACGCAATCAAACAGGAAGTGGCATAGAAGAAAGTGCTCCGCGTGTCGATCAAGTAGAGAAATCGACACGTGTCAACAAGCAAGCAGGAGCTTGCTAATATTGGAACCTCCTGGGCGTCACATATCTGACGAACCACTTTCTGTAACGCGCGATTTTCTGCGCGGTTGCAATGAGTGGTCCTAAGCTGGGAAGATTGGGCCAATTACGGGAAATCGGGATCGGTGGAAAATTGCATCAGTGTCCTCGTTTTTTCGTCCTTTTTCGTCGTTTCTTTTTCAAATGGCCAAGCAAGGGGTCCGGTATGTCTTGGGACGGCCGGTGGAGTGATTGGTCGGATGGATGTCTGGCGCGCCACCACGCGCGCAATTAATAAAGGTTGACGTCGTTTCTTTCGGTTCGATTTCGATCTTTTGGGCACGGACATCGCGCGGGAAATTGCTTCGTTCTTTTTTAAATTCCTTTTTAATCTTTTTCGAATTTTGTCGAGCCCCTGATGGCTCTCGGAATTTCGGACTTTCCTTCTGGAACTCATGCTTTTTGCTTTTTCGCATTAGATAGGAATTTAGGAATTCAGTAATTAGGACATTTTCTGTCGCGCGGCGCCTTTTGTCTACGCGCTTCTTCATGCGGCCGCAATGGTACTCTAATTAGTGGGCGCCCTTAATCGTGTGTGTAACTGTAATTTTGGGCGGGCGCCATTATAACTGTATCTTTCTTCTTGCACTTCATCTCTCCCGCCCTCCCTCTCTTTCTTTTGCTGAAATTTTGTAAGCCGCGGTTTGCATGCTCAAATCGATGCGTGGAGAAGGGTTACGTCCCCCACGCCGCGGCCGATCATGCAGAACGCAGGCGTTCCCTCTCTAATCCTCACTCTAAGTCCTAGTAATTCTGTGTTCTTCGCGCATGCATGCACGCTATAAATTTCGGCTGCACGATTAGTCAGCTCTCTTAACCCGTTGTTGGAAGCTCGGGGTTGCACGATCAGGAAGGGTCGGCACACGAGCAAAGTAAGAGGTGAGTAGAGCAGGAGTTAGGCGACCCGACGAGCTGGTGCCGAACGCACGGGATTGAAGTGGGCCACGACGGACTGTGGGCACAGACGAATCCGACGGGTGCGGGAGGACTAAGCGGGGTGACAACTTCGTGGGTTGGTGAGTGACGACGGACTGTCCGCATCGGAGAGAAAGAGAGAGAGGAGAGAGTTGAGGTCGATGAACGCGAATTTGCTGTTTT